TTATTAACTATGGCAGTTGGCTGCCTAGAGAAGAAAAAACGAAAAAAAATTGAGCCAACCCGGTTCGGGCTTGTAAAAAAGCTCGGATCATTTTGCCCAAGCCGAGCCCGAGCCCGAGCCTGAGCCTCGAGTTTCGGCTCATGAGCCGGCTCGACTTATTCACACCCCTACTACCACCCCCAATCCATAGCCCGAAGCATCGGTCTTGATAACGAACGGCTACGAGAAGCCTAGGAGGGCTAAGCCTGGGAATGTAGTCATGGCCCTCTTTAAACTATGAAAGGTCGCCTCAGCCTCATCATTCCACCCAAAAGCATCTTTCTTCAGCTGATTCGTGAGGGGTCGAACAATGGTGCCACATCCTGCCACAAACCTTCGATAGTAACCTGTCAATCCTAGAAAATCTCGGAGTTCTCGGAGATTGCGAGGAACAGGCCAATTACTCAAGACTACAATTTTGTTTGGGTCGGCCTTCACTCCAGCTGAAACAAGGTGCCCCACATATTCTATCTGTTGTTGGGTAAAGAGGCATTTTCTTTGCATTGGCATATAGTTTGTTCTTTTTCAGAGCTGTGAAGACTAGGTCCAGGTGTCGTTCATAAGCTGGCAGATCTTTACTGTACACCAAAATGTCATCAAAAAACACAAGTACAAACTTCCTTAGGTAATTTCGTAATACCTAATTCATCAATGATTAAAATGTCGTCGAGGCGTTAGTAAGGCCGAACAGCATTACTAAGAACTCATAATGGCCTTCGTGTGTCCTGAAGGCAGTTTTAGGCACATCTTCCTTACTCTAATCTGATGATACCCTAACTTTAAATCCAATTTTGAGAACACAATCGCTCCATGAAGCTCGTCCAACAACTCATCAATCACTGGGATGGGAAATTTGTCCAGTATCGTTGCTTTGTTCAATGCCCGATAATCCACACAAAAGCGCCAGTTTCCGTCCTCCTTAGGGCTGGACATGGTCCGGTTCGATTCAGTTCTAACGAGAACCGAACCAACCCGAAATTTTCGGGTATTTAGTAAGTGGAACCGTCAGGTCTAAATTTAATTACGAAACCGTTCGGGTTCGATTCCATTCAATTCGGTTCGGCCCAGTTCGGTTCCGTATTATAATTAAATTTTTTAATATATACAAAGTTACGTTAATTTAATTAATGATATGTTCAATATTAGCT